CTGTTTTGTACTACTACAAAAGAGTATCACAGACTGGGTAATTTACAAACAAAAGAAATTTATTTCTCATGGTTGTAGATGCTGGAAAGTCCAATATCAAGGTGACAGCATCTGGTGAGGACCTTCTTGCTGCATCATTCCATGGCAAAAGATAGAAGGCCAAAGAACGAGTGAGAGAGCGAGCAAGCAAGAAGGGAAAAAGGGCCAAAGTCGTCCTTTTATCAGGAACCCACTTTTAAAGATAACCAACCCACTCTGGTGACAAGAACAGTAATCTTAACTACCTCTTAAAGGTCCCACCTCTCAACACTGTTGCACTGGGGATTAAGTTTCCAACACATAAACTTTGGCGACACATTCAAACCATAGCAACAATCTATGCCTTGTTGGAACTGCATGTAATTCAGGAAGATTGCTGGTTGGGAGGTGGGGCAAAGGGTAGTGAGAAGCAAGTGGCAATCTCATTCTTATAAAATCCCCTGCTCTCTTTTAAGACATCCTCTGAATTCCTGGATCATCACTAGAGAAACATGCAAGTCCTTGGTTCCTGAGTAAAGAACAGACAACCTATGTCTACCAGCATGTAACTGACCAAGTCTTTTCTGGCTAACGTGCCAGCTTTGCACACTTCTTCTCTTGGATGACTTCCCACTGTTTGCCCCTAGGATTTATCTTCCAGGATGCTATCCTTCTCCAACATGTAAAAAGAAAACAAAGGTCAAAATTTCTGGAGAGTAAGGATCTGCTTCACCCACATTCCTCATGCAGGTGGAAAAAGGAAATGAGAACTCCTTTCATTGCAAATTTCCCTCCAATGTCTGCCCATATTTAAAAGCCAAAGTTTGTGGGTTTCTTTCCCCTTCATCCTCTAGTTTAAAGTCTGGGAGAATTTCTAGAACCACTAATATTCCTGCAAGCACTAGAGGAAAAGTCCATCCTCTGGAACAAAATACAGTGTTAGGGAATCCTTGCTGTTCTATGTAGGCCTTTATATACACAGTCCTCATGCTTCCTCCTTTACATATCAGCTCATACAAATGAGCACTTCAGGGGAGATGGATATGGCTCTTCAGACAAAACCAGACCCTGAATCTTAATTTGAGTACTTCAGGACCCCTGCCACAACTATACACCACCAAAGAGAGTGAATAACAGTAATAAACTCTAATGTCAATTTAATACACTGATAGTATGTTTTGACTTCAGAAAGGAAAATCCCATCCTCTAGCATTCAAAAGTACTTTTTAAAAGCTAATTAGTCCCAGTAGGAGGGCTGTTGAAAGGAAATGTCATCCTGGTCCTAAATGAAGATCAACTTAACCACTGAAATATGAACTTACAGCAGTAATGCTAGCTGCTGTAAACTGCAGCCAATATTCCTGTCCATGCTAGAGAATATCTATGGGGAGGTGACTCACTACATATATTATTGATGGAGCTGGGCTATGATGTAATATAGTAGTGAAAATAACTTGCAAACTGAAATCAAATATAGTATTCTGGCTTTCCACAAGAAAAGCCCAACTACCAATTTTCTCCTACTCTTGAAACATTCTGACTTGAATAGGGTTTCAACTATACACTTTATTTTCAGGCTCAATTAAATATTTAAACATTTAAATGGTATTCAGCTAAATATCATGGTATTTGAATATCAGGGAAAATGTTTAAATATTAGAAATAAAGCCCTAAAGAACTCACTAGGTTAAATCTAGCAGTGCAAATAACTAGACTTCAGGGTGAATTGTCACTTCTTTAGAAGCAATATGAATCATTGATGTAGATTATTCTACAAGTCAGTGTAAGCAGAAAGTTCTGTATTGATCATTCATAATGAAAGAAGTCAAATGGTTAAATATGCTGGCACTGATACAAGTCCCTAATCATTTCCAGACTTGAGTGTAAGTCACTATAATCTAACTTTGTCCATTCCCAAACAACCCAGACCTGGTGAAGGGTATAGCTTTGTTTTTATATTCAAGTTTCAAGAATTTATTTATAAAATACATATAGGCTTCTAAACATAAAGAGAAAAAAATCATTTGATTATACCATTTATCTTTATATAGGATCAGTATTAATCCATCTCCCTTACTAGAGAAATAATTCATAGTTCATTCTTTACTAAAAATGAGTCAACAATATCTTCCTTAGAAACAAAGAATGGTAAGCCATTGTAGGATTATAAATAATTCTCAAGGTCTTTCTTCATAGGTTCCTGAATCAAATATTTTGGCTGTTTTTAGTGCCCCAAAAAAAAGCATCAAAAAGCTTTCAGATTCAGATGGACAGTTTTGTGAGACATTCTATGTAATATAGATTATTTCATTGTCTAATCTAGAGATGTGAAATTTTAAAACTATGGGGTGACAAATTTTGTGTTTTACTTTAAAAGGATAGCTTATTCAAACAATTACTTAGAATCACTATAAACTAAATGAAATTTCATTTGATAGATCTATGTTTTCAAAATATATGTGTTGTTTTGTAGGTGGTTATATGTGAGCCTAATAAAATGGATTGTTCCCTTGTGCAACTCATTTGTCCAGGTTTACTCAGGAGGTCAGAACATTGCCACCTAGGAGCCCCCCCATCCAAAGGCCATGTCTTGATTTGGGATCTGGAAACCAAATCTCTGAAAAGAGGTCAGCTCAGTTTTGCTACGAGGGAAAACCATTACCCTATAAAAAGGAATCAAAACTTAACAAAAGATTTCATATTTTGAATTGAAGGATGAGAAACCATATAAATAAGAAAATAGGCAGCAATGTCAGTGGCTGAAATAATCCAGAGAAGGAAAATCAAGTGCAAGTTCAAATCTGGCGATTTGGAATCTTAACTTTGAACTGATAAAGTTCCAAATTCAGAGATGGAGTCTCCCTATGTTGCCCTAGCAGGTCTCAAGCCATCCTCCTTGCCTCAGCCTCTCCAGTAGCTAGAACTACAGCCATGAGTCACCGTGCCTAACTCAGGGATTTCTTTTTTTTTTTTTTATTTTTTATTTATTTTTTACAACTCCTGCTTTCTTACGTGTGTTTTAGTATTCACTGTACTCACTGCTTTCTTTCCCAATGTTATGCTATCTTGTAAACTGGGAAAGGTCTTGCTGGTTTCTCCAAGAGAATACATGCATTTGTATCTGCTCCTGCATTTGGCTTAAAGGTTTCATACTTATAATCAAAATACTCCTGCTTTCTTAGCTGTGTTTTAGTACAAACTGTACCCACTGCTTTCTTGCCCAAAGTTGTGCTATTGTGTAAATTGGACAAAGTCTAGCTGCTTTCTCCTAGAGAATACATGCATTTGTATCTGCTCCTGCATTTGGCTTAAAGGTTTCATACTTATAATAAAAAGACTCCTGCTTTCTTAGCTGTGTTTTAGTACAAACTGAACGCACTGTTTTCTTCCCCAAAGTTGTGCTGTTATGTATATTGGGCAACGTCTAGCTGCTTTCTCAGGGATTTCTTTATCCTTCAGTCTCAGTTTTCAAAGAGAAGTTCTGGTTCAGAGTCTAGGAGAGTTCCCAAAATCACCACTGTTTCTACAGGCAATGGAGGAAAACTCTACCATCTGGAACAAATGGTTTTCAAGGAGCCCTTGCTGCCCTTTTCAGGCCTTTAAACACATAGCCAATCCCCCATCAGTGTTCATGTTTCCAAAAAAAACAATCCTAATTTTTTAATCTAGGGAAGCACACCACTCAGGACAAGACAATAATAAACACTATTGAGTTATGTGAAAGCGTTACTAAATATAAATCCAAAGGAGGGCCGAAGTTGGTTTGGATGCACAGCTGGATGCTTCATAGTAGCCACACAGGCATGCATGTGGCAAATTGCTGAAATTTGTTGAGGATCATATTATGTTCCACAAGATCATGTTCGCAAGAACTACTACACTGTCCAAAAAAATCCTTAGAATCTAAGACTTGCTCAATGATATTCCCTGGGAATAGGTAGCCATATAATGAGCAAAGTGAAACCTGACCACATGCCCTCACTGGATTGACATCCTGATTTTTCCACTGTATAAATTACAAGCTCTGGGTAGAATAGAGGGATGTAGCAGTTGTACTCTGACAGACCTTTCTTCTTCACTGTGCAGACCATCTTCCACAACTGGTAACCCTGAATGTGGGCAGATATGCTTTCAGAAATGTGAATGGATGCAGGGGCGGGCATGGGGTCAGAAAATGCACCTGCAAAATTGAAAACCCATGCTGTCCATTTGTTTACATCTTATCACTTTTCCCCTAAATTCTCAAAGTACAACAGTCTTTGCTTTTGTTAAGGTTAAAGATGAAAAACTATTATAGATTTACTCATTCTCCTCCTCTCCCTCCCCGAAAATAACAGACAACTGTGACTGGTTAGAGGCACTTTCTGAGTTCTGCTATTTCAGGTCTCCAGCACTGTTTACACTTCGCTGGGATCGTGTCAGTCACTACCGCACTCAGAGTTCTGTGGAGCCTTCAAATCCTCGTTACAAGGGGTGCTAAGAGTTTCTCGGGGCCTCTTCTAGGTAGGGAAGATGGGGAAAGGAACAAGCCCAGGAATTCTAAACTCCCTGCCCCACTCTAGGGTAGTTATTCATTTTATGTACTGGGCTTTTTCATAAATTTCTGTTAGCAAAAGGGTTCAACTTATTTTCAAGAGTTTGAAAACCACTGAAGTGGTTGAAGAAACAGGTACCAGAAAACTTGGTTTGAAGGCCAGGACTTGTCACTTACTGTGGCAGGAGAAACGCGACAATAATCTTGGCACTGCCTACCTCACAAGGTCCCAGTGATGACAACCACCACCACGAGTGTAGGCGGCACCTCAGCCAAGCAGGTGTTCCGCGGCCTCCCGCCCTCTGGCCGGAAGTCCCGCCTCCGCAACCCCCTACAACCCTCTACCCCACCACCAGGAAGTGGACGCCCATGGGCCAAGGTATCACCTCCACAGGCCGGGACGTAGACTCCTCTGCCTAGGCTGCTGTTCTACTGGCCAAGACATGGATCTACCCCGCCTAGAATCTGGACCCACTGGCCAAGAGTCTGAGCCTGCAGGCCTACATTTAGACTTTGCCAGCCAAGATTATTTCTCCACTGGCCAAGAATTCGATTCTCCCTACCAAGAATTGGACCTGGACTCTCTTAACGAAGATCTTTATTCCCAGTCCCTGCCAGATGCCATGACAAAGACCTCTGTGGGCGCATATAAGTCTCAACTGACTTCTGAACCGGTGGATCTGACAGAGGCCGAGCAAATGGAGCTCAAATCTGAGCTCACTAAATTGGAGGCAGAAATCGTAACCCTACGCCAAGCGCTGGGAGCCAAAGAGAGGCGCTGTGGGGTGCTCAAGAGGAAGTTGGGCCTCACCACCTTGGTCGGGCTGAGACAGAATTTGTCCAAGAGCTGGCATGATGTCCAGGTCTCCAACGCCTACGTGAAACAGAAGACGTCAGTTGCCCTATCCATCATGAGCTCTGCCATCTGCAGGAAGTTTGGAGACATGAAGAAGTTGGCCACATTCAGATCTTTTGAAGGTCTGATGGGCACAATCAAGTCCAGAGTCACAGGGGGCAGAGAGCTTCGTAGCGATTGTCCTCCTTCTTCAGCAAGGAGTGGGGATGATTTGCTCCCCATTTTGGGGAGTGGGGATGACCCGCTCCTGGTTCCAGAAGGTGTGAATGATCCACAACCAGTTCTGAGGTGTGGGGATGACCTGCTCCCATTTCAGGAGCCAGAATGAGCTCCTTGGTAATCTTGCCTGACTGCCAAACCAGTGCAAGAACCCCCTTCCCCCTCATCACATTTGCAACTCTGTGCAACTAAAGCAATGAAACCACAATGGTAAAGTTAATTCAAGAAATGGACAGAGTCCAGTTTTGAGAAAAGTAATGTCCATTTGTACATAGATATTTGCTGCTGTTGAATGAGAGAGAACCCAAAGTTTTATACCTGGTTATTTTACACTAAAAAAAGATTTTTTTTTACCATACTTTGAGTTGCTGTTTTTATATTTTACACTAAATTTTGTAGATGAAAAATGTCACTATGCTAGCTTTCCTGGGATTGCATTTAATGCATAGGACAATGGCTCCATAGGGTTCTTAGACAAAAACCCAAACTCTCTTTTGGAAAAGTAGTCTATCAGAAAGCCAAAGTAGATTTCTGTTTAGAACTTGGAAAAGTTATGAAATAATCTATAGTTTTATCCCTTCCCCATTTTCTTCCTTCCCTAAGTCTGAGATGAACACAGTGACCTTCAAAGCTCCATCTGGCCTACAACTTGTATTTTAAAAAGATGATGAAGAAGATGGTTCATCTTCTTGGAGACCTCCGGAAAGGGGGAAAAAATATTAGTGGACTGATTGTTATACTAATAATATATCTTTTGTGAAATTTGATTTTTTGTTTGTTTTCAAAGCTCCCAATTAAGCATAGCAACTTAGCTTTAATTTAGGACATTGTTACTAATTTGGACTCAACCTGAAATTGCGACTTTACCTTGTGTTTTGTTTGTAATCTCTTTATATATCAAAATGAGGGTTGTAAAGTTTAGCCCTTGTGGCAGCATGTCTCTGCCATAAGAGCATGTCACCTAAAATGAAGAAAATTGCTTCCCTGTCCTACAGCAATTCCTAGTTACCAGCTGAGGAGCTGGAGGAAAACAGTATAGCCAAATTCAAGAAAGATAACCCCATCTCAAGCAACGTTAACAAAAGACTGTCCATCTCCTGTAATGCTGGCGATTATGCATTTGAATGGACCTAACTGATTATACATCACTGCTCTGTTTGACAGGAAATCTGTCCTTTCTAGCTCACCCTAACTGAGAAGGAAGCAGAATCCAACCCTCTGGAGATACCAAGACTGTAGGAACCTGGTTTGGGTTTGTTCAAACTTTCTGATATTTAATTTTCATAGGAGATATGATTTTTGGGTGGTTCTTTTTGGTTTGTTTTTTTCCTTTTCCATTTTCAAAATGCCAAGATCTGGTAGCCTCTTTTATTTCTCTAGTCACACTGCCTGAGGTTGAAGTTTGTGTCTTATTGGCTGTAGGCAGAGAGACTAGGACATTTATTTGCTTCAGTACATTTCAGTAACCTCTCATTACCTAAAGGTATCCCTCCAGCCTAAAAAGGTGATCCTGTTTTGTTGATTCTTTAAATTCTCCCTCGACATTCTTTTGGTTTTCCTACAAGCAAAACCAAATACCACTATAAATGCAAAAGCACTTGGCAAACTGTAAAGTCACTGGTTTATCCCAGCCTTCCACAGATTTCTGAAGACAACATTTTGCTTGGATTAAAACAAGATGTTTAACATTTTACGCATTTGTTTTTTAATTTATGTTTATAAACTAAAATGGCTTTGTATGCTGACAAAGGAGGTGAAACTGCAGCGTACAAAAAGTGAAAGTAGTTCAACAGACAAAGGCTTTAACCTTAAATTTCAGAAAGGCTTGTGTTAGGGACAAACTCTGACATCACGGGCCAAACCCAAAATATGTTCTATTTAATAATTCATACAAATGCAGTAACAATTTTCCCAATAAATCCTCAACTCCATGAGGGCAGTAAAGCACATATCTACTTTTGTTGATAATTTTATTCTCATGCCTGGCTGAGGGCAGATGTTCAATAAATACTTGTTAAATCAATGAAGGAATTAATATCACATACTTCAGACACAAAATGTTGGATCCAAGAGATTATCAACTTGAACTAGTTGATAAGTTCCTCCTGCTTTTAAACAAAAATGTTTTGTTTATTCAAAGCATTTTGAATATTCAAAGACAATTCAAGACCCTACTGTGTGTCAGGAACTATGCCAGGCCCCGAAGGCACAGAATTTAATTATACATGGTACATGCTCTCTAGAAACACTCAGATCTTGGCCGGGTGTGGTGGCTGACACCTGTAATCCCAGCTGTCTGGGAGCCTGAGGGGGGAAGATCGCTTGAGCTCAGGAGTTCCAGACCAGCCTGAGCAAGAGCGAGACCCCATCTATACTAAAAATAGAAAAAATTAGCCAGGCATGGTGGCATATGCCTGTAGTCCCAGCTACTTTGGAGGCTGAGGCAGAAGGATCGCTTGAGTCCAGGAGTTTGAAGTTGCTGTGAGCTAGGCTGATGCCACGGCACTGTAGTCCAGGCAACAGAGCAAGATTCTGTCTCGGAAAAAAAAAACACAACACTCAGATTTTAAACTCATTACAATTCACTACAGTAGGTGTTAAGATAGAGCTGGGTGCCAGAGACAAAGGAAGTCCTGAGGAAGGGGTGTTAACTCTGGTTTGGCAGGTCAGTAAAGACTTCAGAGAGGCAAAAAGTCTTAGAGGACTAAGAGAAGTTTGCTAGACAGACAAGAGTAGAACATTCCAGACAATATCCAGAGGAACTGAGTCATGAAGGAATGTATCAGAATGGCATGCTCCAGGAAATACCAGTAAGTCACTGTGGCTAGAGAGGGAAGGGAAGTGGTGATAGATGAGTATGGAAAAATAAGCAGGGGCAAAATCATAGTCTTATATGCTGCCTCAGACATTAGTATTTAATCCTGTAGGAAATAGGGAGACATTGATCACTGAAGTAAAATGTCTCTATCAAATTTGTGTTTTACATATGGAAATAGCATTCATGAGAAATCAAGTAGGTGGGAGAGGGGAGGGGGAGATGGGTAAATTCACACCTAACATGTACAATGCACACTATCTGGGGGATGGGCACACTTATAACTTCGACTCAAACCATACAAGAGCAATTTACACAACCAAAATGTTTGTACCCCCATAATATTCTGAAAAAAAAGACCAGAAAAAAGCGATAATGAAAGATAATGAATTATGACAACAGTGACAGTTATCTCTTACATTTTTGTCATATTAGTAAGAACTTGAAAGCAAGGTTTGATTTGGTTTCATTTTAAAAATTATTAATATTTCTATTAAAATGAGATGTTATAAAATAAAGATGTTAACCATTTCAACCAAAAAAAAAATTGTGTTTTAGATAGATTACTCTGGTCACCAGAGAAATAGATTGAGAAGTATTTTAGAAGCAGAATCTCCCAGACTTAGGATCAACTGCATGGTAGAGACAGATGGATAAATTTGTAAGACAATAAGGATGTAGAATCGGAAAGGCTTGCTATTAATGAAGCTGGGGCCATTTTGCTTTGGCCATTTTATTAGATTGGCATACCTGGATCAGTGGCCATGAGTGCCAGATAAAATGCCTCCACAAACATATGAGCTCTGGCTCGAAGGTTTCCTCCAGATTTTCTTTTTCTGCCTGCTTTTACACTTCCTGTCAGTTGGTTCTCCTCATTCTCTACCATATCTACCTTCATAATTTGATCACCTCTGCTTATCTGGGCCTATTTGGATCTTGTAGCCTAGCTTTAGTCTATTTAACTCAGCCATGTCGGGATACAATTTCTGATATTTCTTGGAATATATGTACACCCAAAGGTGCCCATCCCTAGCTTTGGCTCAATCGAGAACCATTGGATGGGAAGGATAATTGGAATAAAATTTCCTGAGGCTCTCAATTTTCTAGGGCTTCCATTATCCATATGAGTGAAAGGATTGAGATGGAAAATAGAGACAAGATGCTATGGCCTAAATGTTTATATCCTCTCCAAATTCATATGTTAAAATCCTAACCCCTATGGTGATGGCACTGGGAGGTGGGGCCTTTGGGAAAGTGATTAGCCCTCATGAATAGGATTAGTTCACTTATAAATAAGCCCAAGGGAGCTTCTTTGCCCTTTCTACCATGGGAGGACACAGTGAGAAGGCACCACCTATGAACTAGGAAATGGGCCCTCACCAGACACTGAAACTACAGATGGCTTGATCTTGGACCTCTTGATTCCAGAACAATAGAAATAAATTTCTTTTGTTTATAAGCTACCCAGTTTATAGTATTTTGTTAAAACAGCCTGAATGAACACAAGGGTTGAAAATTCTATCTCCCACAGATGACAGTTCCCATGCTACTGGCAAGGATGGGGATAAAGTACCAATCCCTGTGTTCATTAGCATCATACATACATCATAATACTAGCACCACTCCCAAAGAGATTCACCAACAACTTTTGGAGACTACTATGCTTTCTGTTCCATCAAAATACTAAGTTCCAGATCTGAGAGAAACTATATTTATCACATATCCCACATATCCCCCTGACTTGCAGGCCTACAAAGAGGTGAGCAGTGACTACTGACCCAGAAATGTGCAAGTCTCTCTTGACACTGCTAGGCTTAACGGTCCTACTCATCAAGGGGACAATGATGGCATGTATTGATTCTGCTAAGGAATGGGGTCAGTTGCATCTGGGCCATGGAATTTTGGTTTCTTGCCTATGAACTCTGTGAAGAAAAAAGGATAATCACCACTCTATCAAAATGACTGTGGATAGAAGATTCTGCGAAGATGATGGAGTAGGAAGCACAAGAAATCTCCCTACCTAGAAAATAATTACATTGCAAAAGAATCAGTCTAACCATTTTTAAATTCTAGAATTTTCTGAAAGCTTGAAACTTCTAGGTGAAGGTTTGAACAATAAATTGTAGTTACTTTTGGTCAATTTTAACTCCTAGCACAGTAGCAGCTACCCTTTCTCCAACCCCAGCCCTGTGACAGGCCAATGTACATATGTTCCCAGAACAACCTACACAGAGCTTATGAGAACAAGGGTTGGCAAAAAGGACTCTGTCCTCTAATATTAGAGATCTGTGCTCTGACCATTGATTGCTGCTTTTGATCACAGAGGTACATTACAAAGAGGTAGGTGGCCATTTTTATTGCACCTCCTCCCATTGTTGCAAGCCCCTCCCCCACTGGCTGAAATGACTTCCAAGGGATTTAAAGGTTTAGTGTCCTTTCTTTTCCCCATTGCTTCAGTTTTCTCTTTTTCCCCTTTTGGGAACCACACATTAAAGACTAGGACATTCAAAAACAACTGCATAAAAAAAAAAAAAAAAACTACATATATAGGGAAAATTAGAAAGTGACTGAGCATGCCCAAGGAAAAACAAAAGACTTCAGAAGACCTTAAAGTTGTACTTCAGGCTAATCCTCAGCACAGAGGTAGCCTATAACACTCAATAAAAACAAACAAAAACAATCATAAAAAAATCAAATTCTGGGGAAGAGGGAGAATCGAATTTCCAGAGTTGCCACATTATTATATTCAAATATCCACTTTTCAACAAAACTATCACAAGGCATACAAAGAAACAGGAAAGTCTGGTCCATTCATAGTATGAAAATAAACCAGCAGAAACTGTCCCTGAAAAAGAAATTATGGATGATATACTAGACAAAGACCTTAAAACTATCTTAAAGATGTTCAAAGAACTAAAGGGAGATGCAGAGAGAAAGAAAATGATGCATGAACAAACTGGAAGTATCAAAAAGGATATAGAAAACCTAAAAAGAAATCAAAAAGAAATTCTGGAGCTGAAAAGTACAATAACTGAAAGGAAAAGCTCACTAGAGAAATGCAAAGACATAGTTAAGAAGGCAGAATAAAAAATCAGGAATTTGAAGAAGGAAAATGAAAATTGAGTCTGAAGAACAGAAAAAAAAAATAAGGAAGAAAAGTAAATAGAGCCTAAGAGACCTGTGGGACACCATCAAGTGGATCAACACACACAGCGAGGGAATTCCAGAGAGAGAGAAATGAGCAGAGAAAATATTTGAAGAAATAATGGCTGAAAACTTGACAAATGTGATTTAAAGAACATAAATATCTAAGAAACTCAATGAACTCCAAGTAAGAAGAACTCAGAGAGACCCACCCATTATAATCATACTTTGAAAGGCAAAGACATCACTGTTGCTCAGTGTAGTACTCAAAGTTCTAGCTAATCAGACAAGAGAAAGAAATAAAGGACATCCAAATTGGAAAGGAAGAAATCAAATTATCCTTGTTTGCAGATGATATGATCTTATAAGTAGAGAAGCCTAAAGACACCACAAAAAAAAAAAAAACTATTAGAACTGAACAAATTCGGTAAAGTTTCAGGATACAAAATCAATATACAAATATCAGTAGCATTTCTATATGCCAACAATAAATAATCTGAAAAAGAAATCAAGAAAATAATCTCATTTACAATAGCTATAAATAAAATAAATTACCTAGGAACAAACTTAACCAAGGAAGTGAATGATCCCTGTACATCAACAGTTGAATGGATATATATAAAATGTGATATATATACACAGTGGAATACTATTTAGCCATTGAAAAGAACAAAATTCTAGGCCAGGGATGGCAGCTCATGCCTATAACCCAGCACTCTGTGAAGCCAAGGCAGGAGGATCCCTTGAGGTCAGGAATTCGAGACCAGCCTGAGCAAGAGTGAGACCCCATGTCTACTAAAAATAGAAAAAATTAGCCAGGCATGGTGGCATGCACCTGTAGTCCCAGCTACTCGGGAGGCTGAGGCAGGTGGATGGCTTGAAACCAGGAGTTCGAGGTTGCAGTGAGCTATGATGATGCTACGGCACTCTAGTTGGGGCGACAGAGCGAGACTCTATCTTAGAAAAAACAAAGAAACAAGCAAAAAAGGTACCCATATATCCATTACACATCTTAAGACCCAACATAACTATTCACCAGAAGCTATGAACACTCTGTAAAAAGTCCTGGTGAAAACTGATTCCTTCCTAATTAGCTTGGCTTCACATCTTTTTATTTTGTCACACTTTAACATGGTGGTATGGTTTCAAATATCCTAATATT